AACAGTCTGACCCTTAACACGATTTACAAAATGTTAACCAACTTCTTCCAAAGTAACAGACAATATGCTAAATAATAAACACATACCAAGAGATGAAGATGTAAAAAAAAAAACAAAAACAAAAACAAAAAACAACCAAACCCCCAAAAACACAACCACCACAAAAAGGAACAGCTCAGACATAAATTTACATAAATTGGAAAGGCTGCCCACTTCCTGGAATGCTTTACAAACCTCTCATGGTACCAATTCCCAGTTTCTCAATTCCCAGCCCTGCCATTATGATATAATTTATCATATAAGGCAAATGCTGTAATTCTTTTTAAAGCAATACCTCTTTGTTTTGATAAAAAGTATGCCAAAGCATTTCCAAAGTTATTAAAAAAACACCCCAACTTTACTACACCTAGGCTAATCTGCTAAAATGCTTTCCTGCATCATTATTTTTCAAGCACCCTGTTACAATTAAAACTAAGAATATTTAATCATGGATTAGTAGAAAATTAACATTAATGTCAACATTAAAAGGAAAAGTCAATATATACTAATTCACACTGTCCAAAACTATTTTAAAAAAGCAACACCTACAATTGTAAGAAAGACGACAGAATATTGTCACTGTGCTCTTATTTTGCATGCCTAGCAAAAGCACAGATAATCACTTTGTTAATTCTGTCAATACATGTGGCCCTGACACAAAGGAAATACCATTTTTTAAATCAGCTGGAAAACAAGAGCTGAAAAAAATGTAAGAGGTAACATAGCCCAAAAACTGGCATATTGCTTGGAACTACTTCATCTCTCTTTAGATTGACTCCAACAGCAACGCTTTTAAATGGAAACATGCTTCAGATTTTGTCTACAGTATATCACAAACTGATTAAACCCAATGAATAGGAATTAATAAGCATCTTATACCAAATACATCAGACCAGCTACATCAACCTAAATCCATATAGAAGCCAAGTAGTTTCAGCTTATGAAATGAAGGTTTGTCTCTGCAAGAAAGTCAACTTTGGCTAAACCCTGGAAGTACCAGTGGGAAAAAAAAACACCACCACAACAAAAAACAGTAAAGAAAGAACAAGGAAATGCTTTGCAATTCACTTCCAATACAATGGATGTCCTCTTCCTCCTCCCCCCAAGAAATCTTTCAGCTTTACCTCATGTGAGAAGGTATTCCTGGGAGAAAAAGACATCAAGATAACAGCAGGGTTCTCGTTTGGGTTTTTTTTTTTTCACTCCTTCACATTAATGTGCTTGTCAGCTACAGAAGCGTAACATCAAGCACCTCTTACATGACACTGGCTACATTGGATTTTCAGCATTTCAACCAGTTTGAAAGGTGACCTCTCAATTTCCTTCTTCTCTCCCCCAAAACCACACTAGCGGCAAATTATGATTTTCAAGGCCCTCTTCTGTAAAATAAATACAAAATGTCTGGCAACAGAGAATTCTATTCCTCCATCACACATACTAACAGCGCATACACGGTTACAGGAAAGCTTGATTTCTTCCAGCTTATCACCTATCCAATGCATGGAGCCACAATACCATATTCCTGACCTTTAATCTATATCTTCAATAATTTACAAAGTTGAATAGATGTGATGTCTTATCTGCTCTTTTGATTTGCTACACCCAGCAGCAGGACTCAGTTTAGGTCACAATACTACTGCCATACATTCTACAAGACAAAACTACATAAAAAGGGGACTGCAGTTCACACCTGGAGCATGTATGGAACCTGCAACTATGTTAAACTTCTGGACACAAAGCTTCCTAAATCCCTGAAAAAGATCCCACATTTCTTCTTATTAAACTGTCAGGGTGTGGCTTCATTTAGCTAGAGTTCCCATTGCAAAGACTTCATGAAATGTCCTGGTTTGCCTGCAAGTGGCTTGAACCAACCCACTGCCTCCTGCCAAGTAAACCCCCCTAAAAGCAAGAGAGGACACCGAATTTAAGCCCACAAGAGAATGCTGCCGCTGCATAGTACCTGTGCAGATAACAGAGCAGTTCCCTCAACACTTGCAGTTCAGGACCTTCCCCCCTCTGGACTGTCTCCTCTAACAGGAACACTGCTCCTACCACCTTAACCCCAGGTAACCAGAGAACATTGTCAGGCACCCACAGAAGAGACACTGCTACAGCCTGCCTTTTTAAAAGGCTCAATAACAGGTGTACTCTTCTCACATAGAGTGGAGTACCCATGATTTTTTGCCTGCGTGAAGGATTCCTCTAGAAACATGGCTCAATGATTTTCCTTACCTGCTAAACATGCACTGAAATCTCACATTGTTTTATAATGCACCAGATTGTAGATTCCTAATCAGTGATTTAGGATTTTGTAATTATGGAGTCTTTGTTAGCTGTTGCTCCTCTATGCACAAAGGAAATATTTTGTTACTACCACTGTGAAACCTATTAATTAAATGCACGTACATAAGGCCATGCTTTCTACAATAAAAATAACCATTACATGGAATTAAAGTGATCTGCTAGATTAACTACTCTAAACCTTCCCGTACAGAGTAAATTGCATGAGGCTTCACACACACACACAGAGAGAAAAGGAATTGTTTATCTTAAAAATAACTTTTCACTTATCGATAACAGTAACTGAAACACTTGCACATTCACTGAAAGTAAAAAGCACAAACAAAAGTGAACCTGGTTCAAGCCAAGAAATTTTTCTCAAACATCTCTGCACTGCACACTAACATTTTAATCTTTCTACTTCCTTAACAACTTACTTTTCCTAGAGACAAGTTTTATAAAAAAAAAAAAAAAAAAGCTTCATGAGTCAGTCCAATTCATAAATGCCCAAAACACTGTCAGAAAACTGAGGCAAAATACTTAAATATTTGCCTGGGTTGTTTGGGTTGTGGTTTTTTTTAGTATGTACTGCATGGATCTGCTGCACAGCTTCATACAGTAAGAGAACAGTGATATTTATAGAAATATATTTAAAAACTATCTGAATGTCCCACAACCTCAGCCATCTCAAATGGACTCTATATACTAAAACTTTAACTGACTAGCATAAAAAAGAAAATGCATTATATGCAAGGAGTCAAAACTCAACTAATATCCTGAATTGCTGTCTGCACTACTTAATTTCACAGTACCCAAAATAAAACATAACCTAGCGATGTTATGTGATGGATAATCCAATTATATGCAATGCTTTTATTTCCTACCTAGCATACTTAAGCTTTATCTCATACAGGATACCCTCTAGTATTTCTGATAGCCTCAACAGCATTCACAGAGCAGACAGTAATTCTGGTCCACTAACAGTTAATGTACGTTATTTAAGTGGTTTGACATGTCACTCCCCTACCTTTTTAAGTTATCAGAAAAAAGTACTTTTATAAATAACTCTGAAAATCGAAAGGAAACCACGGGATTTTTATAAATTAAGCACAAAGAAAAGTGTACTTGCTTCTCCTTCCATTTCTCCCCCCTCCCCCCACGTCCTGACATTGAGCTTTTCCAAGCATGCCAGAAATAAACATCCAAACACAAGCAACGGCCTAGGCTACCGAATTCAACACATTCTAGAGTTAGGACATCAGATCCACCAAGGCCAGCAACACAAAAAATTCTTCCCGTGAAAACATCGGCATACTGCACGAGCACAACAATAGGATGAACAAAGTGTCAAACACAAGGCTGCTGACAGGAACAAGTCTGAAAGCAGGAACCAGAAGAGCACAGTCCTCTGCTTAAACCGTGTGGCATTTTTAAAAACAGTTCGACTTGTTCTGTGACGTTTTCTTAGCGTTTAGTTTTTAAACACAACTGGCAGACAGCCTGCACAGCCTTTGTCAATAGCTTATGGATGGCCATCAGAACGTGCTACAGGTTGATAAGAAAGACACCAGCGCTGCAAACGCCCTGCCTACAGTAGGAAAGCATCCAGAAAGAACTTGCAATGCGCACGAGAGTTTCCCTCAACGTTCACCGGGGGCTTTAAGCTCCAGGCAACGAGCATATTCGTTCCCGGTATTTGTTTCGTGTTTACCCCCCCCCCCCCCCCTTCTCTTTCTCCTCCCTGTCCGGCCATCTTGGGCCGACAGGAGCAGCCATTACTTAACTAAATGACAGGGCCAACAACTTTTCACAGAAACAAACATTTTTCTCAAAAGACCCGGCAGACTCTAGAAACCCGCGGGCCGTCCCACTCCTTGCCAGGCCGCCCAGCGGCGGAGACAGCAGGAGGCCCGGCGGGCGGGACACGGCACTCAGCGAGGACCTAGCACGCTGGAGGCTGCCGGGCCCGGAGAGTAAACAAGTCACTCGGCGACGGGCACCAGGAGCAGCTCAGCGCCTCACCCCAGGCCGGGCCCCCGCTCCGTCCGTCACCGGGTCAACCACCGACTGCCCCCCGTCCGCCAGTCGCCGCGAGGCGCAACCGCTGCCGGGCAGGGCGCGCGCAACCACCGGCCCCCGCCGTGCGGGGCGAAAATCACGAGGGAGGGTCCGGGGAGAGGCCAACGTCAGCAGCGCCTCGCGCGCGCCCTCCTCCCCACCGCCACCACCACCACCTACTCCTCGTCGACCGACCTCCCTCCCTCGCGCACCCCGTTCCCCCGCCGCGCCGCTCGGCGGTTGCTGCCAGCCCGGGGCTCCGGCGTGCAGCCAGTCTCCTGTCCCGGGGCTGGACGGACGCTCGCAAGGCCCACACCCAGCCCCACTCGGCTCTCTCCCGCAAGGGGGACCATGCTGGCTCCGCGGGACAGGGGTAGAGAAAAGAGCAAAGGCGTCAGCGAGGCGTGGGAAGGCCGTAGTGGGGGGCGAGGCGGAGCGCCCTGCGCCCGCGGATGTGGCGGTGCCCCGCACAGCCGGGCTCGCACTCAGTTGCGCCCTCGCACGCACATACTCACCGCGCGGACCTAGAGGACCGGAGGGAGGGGGTTACTGGGCCGAGCCGGCTCCCTCCCCTCCCCCCCTGCTCCCCTCCAGTCCCGCTCCACATCCACCCTCGCGCTTACCTTTAACAGCAAGGCCTTCGTTCTGGCGCCATCTTCATGAAGCCTCAGAAATCCGAAGAGTCGGCTGCAGAAGGGGAGCGGGCGGGAGAAAGGGGAGAGAAGCACCAGCGTTAGTGAGAGTCAGCCCCCCGCACGGGAAGGCGGGCGGACGGGCTCGTTCCCGGCGGGCAAGGACAGAGCGCGGCGGCGGGGGCCGGGAGCCCGCACACGGGCACACACGCACTCCCAAGCGGGGAGCCGCGGGCAGGGGAGGGGGGAGACACAGAGGGAGCGCGGGCCGAGCCGGGACACGGAGACGGCCGGGGCGGAGTGGGAAGCGGGTACCTGTCGAGGCCGGATAGGGCTTCTCTCTCCTCGGCTGTCAAGCTGGCGAAGTCCTCCTCGCTCTGGCCGCTCGCTTTCCCCGCCGCCATTTTCTTTTCCTCATCACCGAAAGGAGCAGTAGAGGCGGCGGCAGCGGCGAGCGACACTCCGCACGATTTCATGGAAACGCAGCGTAATTAACTCACGATCGCAACCCCCCCCCCCCCTGCGCGCCCCCAACACCCCCCAGCGCCGGGCGGGGCGGGGTGCCCGACACACACACACCACAACTTTTATTACAACAACAACAGCCGGCAGGGAGGGGGAGGGAGGGAGGGAGAGAGGGAGGAGGGAGGGAGGGGAGAGGGAGGGAGGCGGGGGGAAGCCCCGCTGCTCGGAGGAGGAGGAGGAGGGAGGGAGGGGGGAGGGAGCCCCAGCGCTGAAGACTCGGGGGAGGGGGGGGAGGAGGCGGTGGCTGCAGCGGCGGCGGATGGCGGAGGAGCGGTGTTTACATGGCCGCGGCACCGCTCGGCCTGGCAGCGGGGGGTTTCTGGGAGCCGGGGCGGTGGGGGCCCCGCACGCCCTGCCGCGCGGGTTGCGCTTGCCGCCTGTACAAACTTCCCCAGCCGCTGCCCAAAGTTGTTGTAATTGTGTCACACAGCGAGCCCCACGCCGCCACCGTGACCCCCCACCCCGCACCTCCCCGCTCGGGCCCGCGCCGCCAATCGCCGCTTCCGCGGCGCCGCACGTGACCTTTGTTGACTTACGTCAGTCATAGAGCTCTTCCACGGATGCGCTTCAGCTCGGCTCGCTGACATGGTTCCATTGGCCAGTGTCTGAGGGAAGAGGCGGGGTGTCAAGGATTCGCGGCTCAGGAGAGGTCTGCCGAGCTGTCATTCAGAGGGGCTTTTCGATTACCCAGAGGTAGCAGGTTTGGCGTGCGCCTTTAAAAACCGGAGGGCGAGAAGGCGGGGGAAGGTTGCGGGAGTGGCGGGCGTTGGGGTCGGGTGGGTGAATAAGAGGAGGGTGAGTTGCTTTAATGGGTTGTTGCGTAACGGGGGCTCCAGGTAGAGGGAGCGGACGTTGCTGAAGAAGAGAGCCCTGCTAGCGCCTCGCGGGCTGGGGGAAAGCCGCGTTCGCCCGCCAGCCCTGGCTTGGACACAGGGCGCTCTTGTTCTTGGTACAACCGAAAAATAACGGCTTCCCCACACGGGGAGCGGGGATCGTATTGGCTCGGGCTACCCGCTCTTGGGCCGCGGGAGGAAGGATAAGCCATCACCCCCCGAGGCGGTGGTTGAGGTGGCGGTTAACGCCCATGCAGAAGGGCGGTGGCGGCGGCCGAAGTGAGGGCACCTCCGGTGGCAGGACGGTTGTGGCTTCACCCACTCTGGGATGTGGAGGCGCCTGTGCTTTCTCAGTGGCTTGTGGCTGGCGGCTCGCAGCGGAGCGGAGACTTTCCTGCCGCCACTCGCCACGGGAGAGCGACCGTTGGTCCACCAACGGACGAGCGCGCGACGGGACTCGTCCCGTGCTGGGCGCGAGGGAAGGTGAGGGGGGAGGGGCGGGGGGGGTGTGTGTTAGTGGGGTGTTAGTGAGGCGGGGCGCCCAGGGGAGAGCCGCCCCTCTGCGGGAGCCAGTGACAGGTGGAGCGGTGCCCGCTGGCGTCAGCCCCGCGGCCGTCGCGTCACGTGGCGCGGGGCGGGGGACCTCTCGCGAGGCAGCGGCAGGAGGGCGGTGTGTTGTGATGCGTTGAGCGAGTCGGTTACGGCGCGGTGGGCTGGAGCGGGGCTGGTTCATAGGGAAGCGCGAAGGACTGACGTTGTGCTGCCGGGAGCGTCTCACGCGTAAGTCTCTTGAGCTTTTTTGAATGTTGCGGAGAAAGGAGCTTTGCGTGCTCCGATTGCTTCCCCTTTATGAGGCTGAGCTTGCCCACCGTGTTCTTTGTGGCTTAAATGCTACCTAGGCATCCTTGGTTCCTCGACCTTCCTGGCTTATCCAAGAACTTGAACTTCCTGTTGTCTCTTTGCAGTCCTGTTAATTTGCCTGTACTGCCAGGAAGCTTTAGGGTTTTTGAAAGTCATTAGATCTTACATCTACGTACGAGGAAACAGCCTTCTGGGGGTGCATGGTGGCACAGCTCACTGCTTGTACCCATTTTGCTGAACACGGATGAGCAATGATCTTCTGTAACATCACTGTATCCCTTCTCCAGTGTCTAGCCACAACCCCATGACAGGGCAGACTTTTTTCTCTGCGAGTTGAAATTTCCTCCCCTCAGAACAAGGCCTGTTTTATGACTGCCAGGTGCTCCCAAGCATAACTGAAGCTACAAACTGCCTTTGGGAATTAGGTTAATAAGGTCCAAGGCCACTATCTATGTGATGTTCAGTCACAATGGGTTACTGGTTTTATCCCCTCTTAACTGCCACCCTGAAATCTTGTACTCATTAAATTGCAGCATGTTCCTGCCTCTGTAGGTGTTACAGCTATTGTTTGCATGCCAGTGATGCCTTCCAGTTGGATCCTCAAATGTTTTCTGATCCTGGAGGTGTCTGTCGCACAGTGCAGAAACATGGGAAGAAGTGTGCAAGGCAGGTGCTGCTTCCAAGCTCACTGATTGGAGATGTGGTCCAGTCAAAGTCTTGAATCATGCAAAGGAAGACAAGACTCAAATTAGTATGTCCTTGCTTTTCTTAAAAGCCAAATCTTGTCATGTAGCCATACTTTATGATGCAAATGCAGTTAGAACACAGAAAGCACCTGAGTGTGCTATGGTTGCATATCTTGAAATAGCCAGCAGGCAGCTGGTTAGAGTGTTGGTATAATAGACAGGCATTAGTGTTTAAAGTACTTTGGTGTCCAGATAAAAAATGGGTTATTTTTGGTTCCGAGAATGAACCACAGTCTGTTAATGGTGAAAAGAGCTGTGATCAAACATCCGTCTTCACCTGTATTTTACATGGCTTATCAGTCACACATTTTCTCATCAGCACAAAGGACTACTGATGGGTAGAGTGCCAAAATAAGATATTTTAGCAGTATTCCAAGTGTAAGTCAGTGGAAAGGATAGTAAAGAAAACTATTTCTCAATACAAGGAAGATGTTTTCTAAATTACAAAGCAATTCAAGAGACTTAATAGAAGCAGTGACAAAGTGAGTGCCTGCTCTGCTTCTTAGTTCAGCTGAAAGTGTAAGTATCATGAGAAACTTCCATGCACCTGAAGTCACAACATCTCTAGTACCCAACTGCTACTCAACCACTTTTAACCTCTGTATCCTGCCTGTATTGCTTGCATTGAACTTCTAGGTGCTTTTGATTTGTGTTTTGGTTTGTGTTTGGTGGGGGTTTTTTTGTTTGGGATTTTTTTTGTGTTGGAACTACTGTTTGGATGACATGAGTTGTCTTGCATTTTTTCAACTCTTTGAGATGCATCTAAAGCTTAGCTTCTGCAATAATAGCAAGAAAAGCTTGAAAATGCATGCTGAAAGTAGCACTTCCTGCCTTTGCAAACAGTCAGGTAACAGTTTTGGGAAGTAAGACTCATATGTCATCACCTGCATGAAAGGAGTCTGTTTCAGGTAAGTGTGATGCTTGTCTTCTGCTTTAAGATATGCCATGGAAGCTGACCTCAGAAGGAATATGTCGTTATGTTCTCAAGAAGAAAGAAGGGAACTGCAGTGGTGTTCTTCATTTATTACAGATCTATCAAGTATTACTTAACTCATTAGGTTTTAGCTTAGTTTAAATTCCAAAGTCACCTGTGAGTCTCCAGAATCACTTAGGTACTTTCCGCATGAAAGCGATGGACTGATGAAACTCTTGGACTGAACAGTACTCTTCGGGTCCCCCTTCCCTGTATGTTTTCATCCCCATTAATTTTCCATGCAGAGTTTTTGTATTCCTGTACACTTTGTCAGGTTCTGCCTTGTCATGCTGCAAGACTTGCCCAATCAGTTAAGAAACTGAGTGCTGTTAGTATGTGTACAGCTGCAGGGTAATTTATGCCAGAGAGAGCTCTGTTCCAGGTAGATGTTTGACATGCTGGTCATTCTCTGCAGCTTGAAATTGAGATGCTACATTAACGCACCGCTTCTGAAAATCAGTATTGGAGACAGCAGAAGTTTGTTCTACAGTTCTCTTTATAAATAAATGTACATTGCCTTGTGCCTTTTTTTTAGCTGAAAAGCAACTCCCGAAATTGCTGCAAAAAAGTTGATATGGAAGGAAGACTCAGCTTCAGCACTGGGGTTCAAGCTGTCATCTCACTGAATGTCAGTGGTAGTTGTGGTATCTCAAGCATCCAGGTTCACTGGCAAATAGGACAAGCCTGAGCACGTATCAGTGAGAACTCAATCTCAGGAAAATAGCTCCATGGTAGGATGGGACAAGGGAAGGGTGACCTGCTCCAGATCTACTTTTCACTCTCACATCAATATTACTTTTCACGTTTAACTCCAGCAACCAAGTGCTTAGCCTGCCAATGTCAATTAAAGGAGGGAGGACCTTTTTAGAGGTTGTGGTGATCCCACCATCTTTAAATGAGCAAGAGTACAGTAGTCTGTCGTGAATGGTCACCACAAATACACTGTAAATCTGTTGAAGTCCTGACTGGAGGCACTTCTGCTATGATAGTTACTGTCTAGTGTCAGGAATGCTGCTTCTCACAAAGTATGAAGCTCCTTGCTGCAAGTCTCCTGAATGGCAACCGCACAAATAGTCCATTAACGTTCAGAGCCCTGAAAACTTGGCAGATTTTTCTGAAGAGAATTCTACCTTAAAAAATGACTTGGTCTTCAAAATGTAAAAAGTTTTGGGCTGCCTGTGTGTAAAATATGGAGGAGCAAATGCATGCAAATACTAAAATGTTTTAGTGCGTACATCTTAAAAAAGACAACCGTGGATATAAACTCAAAGGAGTTACCTGGTAGGAGTATACCATACTGGTTTGTTTTAGCCATACCTAATCTTCCACAACTCAGGATATGGAGCTGTCCATGTGACTTCTTTGTGCTGGCTTTTGGACTTTAAAAAAAAAAAAAAATTGAGAGCTTTTTCTTGAACTTTCCAAAGCTCTGTATAGTATCACACAAAAGGATTTTTGTTTGGTTGGGTTTTTTAAGGCAGTTACTTCAGTATGTTGATAGTCTGCAGGTTGAACTTCCTTAACTTTCAGCATGAATAAGCTGAACCTCTCTCCCTGTTTTCCTTTAACATGGAATTCTTCCTGGACAAGGCAGCTACCACCAACTCACTTTCTCAAAACAGTATTCCTTGCTGGACTAAATCTGACTTATTTTCTGCGTTTCCATAACACTTGCTCTCCAGAAGAACAGAGGTTCAGTGCAGCGCTTCTGTGGTTTTATCAAGTGTATAAAAAAGCCAGACTTGCTCCGTGAACGTTTTCTGGATCACAGTGGGTTTCCATGGATGACTACTATTCTTCTACTATCTGACCTCCTCATCAGATCCATTCTCAGATACGTGCTTATTTTCAAAAATGCTGATTAAAAGAACCTTTTGATCATTATTAACATATTTGGTGTGACTCCCAAATCAGGTAGTAAATTTGAGTGAGTAATATATCAATCCCTGCAGGATACAGTTAAAATATCACATCTTGCATAGTCCAGAACATATGTGCTAGTCACCTACAGCAATATTTCTTATTTCAACCCCTAGAAAAACTATGGTGCTTGAAATTAGGTGTATCAGGTCAAATTGGTGTTTCATTCCTGCTTGTGAAAGTTCCTTTGCAGTTGCAAGATATGAGCTACTCAGGAAGTGAAGGTAAGTCACCTCCTTACACTGTCACACAAGAGTATGAAGAAGCTCAGGATGCACGTATGATCTCTCATACTTTTGGTTTGGTTTTGTTCTGGGTGCCCTTGTTTCATTTTTGAAGGTTTTCTAGGTGTGGAGTCAACATTATAATAGCTCAGAAGACCTCTAACTATAAGGCAAATACCCTTTTACAGTAGCCCAGGAGAAATGTGACAAAACAACC